AATTTTATGCAAGAGGTAAATTCCTTATCTTGGCAGTTATGGACTGACCTGTTTATGGTTGATTAGCCACTTACACTTTTCCAAGGGGTTGCAAAATGTAGGTTAGATATGAAAAGGGTCTTAAAGAACCAAATTGCATTTTGTTCTTGTTTGTGGCAAGTTAACATTTCAAAAGGGTACATTTTGTACATATTTATGAATGATAAAGAATGTGATTTGACTATACACGAAGTATTTAATGATGGTAATTAAACTCAAGGGGATATTCATGGGAAATGGTGAAAGGATGACTTGTTTACCTGGTAAACACTATAGTGACTTTAATTCCTATTTACAGTAATGACAAGTGAAGTCTTTTCATGTTAAGCTCAAAAGTGTTTGGTCAGCCAATCAGAAACCCCTTCCAGCTTGACTCACTGACATTTCAGAGGGAAGCTTGAGCTGTTATAGTAATCATTATGGAAGCACAGGCCTAAAAGATAGTGTACATTATTGCATGAATGGAAGCTACCTTGGTACATATTATAGATTAGACATATTGTCAGGGCTCCGAGTATGACCAGAAGTGTGTGGACTGACACAGGGAAACGCAAGCTTCAGATATGGTATAAATAAGACAATTTATTAAGACTAACAATACAAACATAAACACAGTGCACCAAACCCCAAGCTAACACAAATACATACAACAAGGTGAAACAAACCCAAACCTAAACTGATACAGATACACAGGTACATACACATATAGAGCACTACATAGTCAGGCAGGCCGGGTCGATAACTATCGGACAGGTAGGTACAGGAGGAGCAGGCGGAGAGAATGGTCAGGGTCACAAGCCAGGGATCAAAACAGGAGAAGTCAGCAGAGGTCAGGATCAGGCAGGGTCGGCAACAAGTCAGGCAGAAACAGGAACAGGAACAGGAATGCAGGTTACAAGATACAGGGGCCCATGGAAAAACACACACCAAGGCACAGACTGCAGGTCTGGCCATCCCTTAAATACACCTGCAATCAGCCCCAGGTGATGGCTAATTGCCGAAGTGAACCTCTGGTTGTTGAGAGCACCCGCTGGCCAGCCCTGGTACTGCAGCCCACAAGGCAGGTGAGTCCCACCACTATTGGCAAGTCCATTCCTGACACATATGCTGGATTGTGTAGTGTCTCTGTGCTTGATATGAAGTATTTTAAATGGGACTCTGAGGGCTGCTGTTCATTGTAATATTTACAAATATTCTTCTGGATTTTGTCATCTGTTGCAAGTGTCTTGTATCTTGTGCTGGAACCCAATAAATGCATCTCTCTGGAGAAGAATCGTTGAACTTGTTCCTGCAGGAAAATTCATTTCTTGGATAGAGGAGTTTTGCATTCCAGATCGGCTAACGAACTCTTGCCTCAACAATAATTATAACAATAATTATTATTGTTGAGGCAATAAGGGGATGATAGAGTTTGTATCCTTGAAGGGCAAGGTGAAAGAAGGGTGGTTGGAAAGGGAGGGTAACCAGTCAAGTGAAATAGTAATCAAACAAAATAAACAAACAAACAAACAAGAGAAACAAACCAAAACAATGGAATTTAGTGTACAATAGAAGAACAAGCTGTTTGCACATGGGCAACCTTTAACAAGTACAATTCTATTGGTGCAACCATATAAACCACAGTGAGATACAATAAAAACCACAGTGAGAGGCCAGTAGTTTTTCTTCATTCCGCATTGGTGTTTAAGGTCCCTAAGAGTATCTGTTATTCTAGGATGGGTGTTGAATTTCCATAATCTAACAAGATTTAATTTTGGGGCTAAGAGTAAGTGATCAATAACAGATCTAGTTTTAGAAGGTAATTGGCCAATGTGAGGGCATTTTTATAGTTTTAAGGGTTTTCAGTGCTGAGCACTATGATTTGCTTATCTTCCTTTGGAGCTTGAAAGGAGGATATTCTCTGTGGTCAATTTCATCAAGTAATGTGGTTGTGAAGCTGGGTCTTATGGTTGCTCTGACTGATTGCATATACAACCTGGAGCAGATTGAAGATGTTCTTAGAGTCCTGATACTTACCAACATGCTATATTGTCGGGAGGATCAAATTCTGTGCATTCACCCTCTAGGGGGAGGTGGAGAATTGTGTCTTTTCACTTGGAGCACACACTTTCACTGAAGAAGCATGATTTTGCCCTACTGGGTTTTATGTTTTTCTTCAATTGGAACCATTTATACTTTTGGAGTTTATTTGAATATTTTTTCAACAATGTATTTGTGTGCAGCACATGAGCTGTTTTGGGTAACATATGAGTTATTTTTGGATAAATTATTGTTGTTACGTTTATACAAACATATGTGTACATTTTGATGGAAATTTTTATTGCAATGCTCACAAGACCTCCTACTTTCTAGCTCCCTGGTCTCCACCTCCCACGCCTGACTGCAGGACTTCTCCAGGACATCCCCCATCCTCTGAAACTCACTACCCCAATCCATCAGACTGTCACCTACCCTCCTCACCTTTAGGCGCACCCTGAAAACCCATCTCTTCAGGGAAGCCTACCCCGCCCTCACCTAACAGCCGATCTCCTCTACTCTTCCCACAACTCCATCCCCCACAGCCACTTCCTCCTGTACCACTATCCCTTCCCTCCTAGATTGTAAGCTGGAAAGAGCAGGGCCCTTGACCCCCTCGTGTTTTGTTTTGTTACTGTATTGTCTCATGTTCTGTCCCCCACTATAATGTACAGCGCTGAGCAAACCTTTTAGCGCTATATAAATACTGTATAATAATAATAATAAGACATTTGTATAAATCTTTATGTAGTTTTCAGTGCAGCACATATGTACACTTTCTTACACCTTTAGGTATTTCAGAGAACATGCAACTTTAGTTAGAAATACATGTTGTGCAAATGTTTTCTTTATTACATATAAAAAGTTTGGATACCAAATACGAATCTCATTAAAGTCAATTGGAGCCAAATCTGTCAAATCAGGTTTCTTATCACGTCTTTTAACCACTTTGCACCTCCTAGGCCTTCTTAAAACATACTGACTTGAAGTGGTTAAAACAAGCTAATGTCTGAAAGCTGTCATTTCTTTCAGCTGATGAGTAGCTGTTTAGTAAAAGTGATCCAGGCCCGCCAATCGCTAAAGGGAAAAAGACTATTAGTATGCTGACTTCCCACTTGTGTTGTACTCCTATTTCATCTAAGGCCATGGTCATATTTGGCCAGTGATATCACTATCATCCCGCCCCTCTGCTTACATAGCTGGGCATTCCCAGCCATGTAAGTGAATGGGGCCAATGACTTCACTGGATGGTGCCTGCAACCGCTGGGGCCTATAACAACCTTTGACAGTGAGAAGCTGTCATGGATAATAGTAGAAGTAGGCAGAAGTTCTAACCATTTATCCACCATGCTGCACTAATAGTATTGTAACAGTACTGTCTTCCTTCATTTTGTGAACTGCTGTGCAAACTGTGCTATATAAATCAAGGATAATAAATAATAATAATTGCAATATTAATTATCTAATATCACACAATAGAGCTTCTTAAAGTTGTGAGAGAGTCCAGAGCAGGGGTGGACTGACAACTCACGGGGCCCCCTGGCAATAGGGGATCATGGGGCCCCTGTGTCCTTGCCCAAACTCAAAAAAGCCTCTGAAAAAGGTACCAGGAGCATCTCATGTGGCCCCCTACTGACGCCGGGCCCTTGGGCAGTGCCCGAGTTTCCAAATGGTCAGTCCACTCCTGGTCGAAAACTTATGTCCACAGTCCAGAGTTCAGTATGTATAACGGGTGTGCCTGTTGATAGATAGGAAAGATAAGTTAAGACTTGTTAAGTGACTACATCATAGTTCAAACACAGATCCCGATGACACATGTATTCTTGGGAATAAAGCATTTATTAAAACACCAAAGAAGCGTTTTATGACTACCAGTCACTTCTTTAGTAAAAACGCTATAGAACATACTGACAATATAAAATGACATACATAAAAATACACATTACAAAACATAGAAACACAATACATTGACTAAAAAATAAAAAATAAAGTCATAAGACTTGTGGTGATCTTTGGATATTATAGGAATGATAAAAATATTGTAAAAGACTGCAGCATTACCCCTTAGGAGTCACTAGAGTTTTAGGTCCCCATACAATCCTGCACAGCCAGGCAACACTCATTTTCTTCAGGACTTTCACTCCAGAGACAGTAAACAGTCCTTGAACTTGTTTTTATTTTATTTTATTATAATTATATTATGTATGGGGATGAGGAGTACATGGGATGCCCAAGGAACTGTAAAACTACGGACAATTTCCTGGAACTATGTATAAGTAGTCAGAAGGGTTTTCTCTTCTCTTCTTGGAGTTCTAGCCAGCCTCTCCTTGTGTACCTCATTAGACCCAAGATGAAATCTCTTCTTCAACCAGCTGCCTGAAGGAATCCCTGGCCGTGAGGTCCAAAATACTCCTAACTACTCTGCTACAAGTTTTAGTCTCACAGGAACACAAACCCCAGTACAAAAGATCATTATTAAAGAAAATAAACTCTCCAATTGTAGGGGTCTTCAAACACATGCGGCAATTATCTGGCCAGCCAGGCACGGGCATATTTGCCGCAAGGATGGGACACTAAGTACAGTGGTGGGCAGGGGGCTGCTGTATCTTACCTGGCTGCGTGTCCCAGTCCCACGACTATCCAGTCCAGGAAGCGCTGCTCCTTCATTCACTCTGGCCACTCCCTCACTTGATGTTCACGCTGCCGCTCGGCTCCGCCTCCTCACTGGTGATTGGGCGCCACAACTGTAGCTCAGGAAAGGCACACAGGTGGCCAATCACCTGCGAGGACGTGGAGCCAAGCAAACATCGAGTGAGGGAGAGACCGGAGTGAAGAAGGACAGCTGACAGGTAAGTGTGCCGTGCAGATTGTGCTGCTGCAACCAGGTATGCTGGTATGCTGGCTGCAGCAGCACCATGCTGAAACAGGGGTAAGCAAGTTAAGTGTCATTGGTGTCAGTGGGAGAATAGTGCCCATCATTGGTGTCAGTGGGAGGAATAGTGCCCATCATTGGTGTCACTGATACTAATGATGTGGCATTATTCCTCCCACTGACACCAATGATGGGACACTAATCCTCCCCCCACTGACACCAATGATGGGGCACTAGTCCTCCCCCCCACTGACACCCACAATGGGGCACTATTCTTCCCCCCACTGACACCAACGATGGAACACTATTCCTTCCCCCACTGACACCAATGATGGGGTACTATTCCTCCCACTGACACCAATGTTGGGACACACTACCCCCCACTGACACCAATGACAGGGCACTATTCCCCCCCCACTGACACCAATGATGTACTATTCCTCCCACTGACACCAAAGATGGGGCACTATTCTTCCCACTGACACCAATGATGGGACACTATTCCTCCCAGTGACACCAATGATGGGACATTATTTCTCCCACTGACACCAATGTTGGGACACTATCCCCTTCCCCCACTGACACCAATGACGGGGCACTATTCCCCCCCCACACTGACACCAACAATGGGGCACTATTCCTCCCCCCACTGACACTAATGATGGGGCATTATTCCTCCCACTGACACCAATGATGGGGCACTATTCCTCCCACTGACACCAATGATGGGGCATGATTCTTCCCACTGACACCAATGATGGGGCACGTTTCTTCCCACTGACACCAATGATGGGGCACGTTTCTTCCCACTGACACCAATGATGGGGCACGTTTCTTCCCACTGACACCGGTGATGGGGCACGTTTCTTCCCAGTGACACCAATGATTGGGCACTATTCCTCCCACTGACACTAATGATGGGGCACGATTCTTCCCACTGACACCAATGATGGGGCACTATTCCTCCCACTGACACCAATGATGGGGCACTATTCCTCCCACTGACACCAATGATGGGGCACTATTTCGCTCCATAAGACACACTTAGGGGAAATGTCTGTGCGTCTTATGGAGCGGCCAGCCCAGTATTCCCACCGCTGTAGTATGTCCGCAGTCTCTGGTCATCTCCTGTACTGTGTCCGCAGTCTCTGGTCATCTCCTGTACTATGTCTGCAGTCTCTGGTCATCTCCTGTACTATGTCTGCAGTCTCTGGTCATTTCCTGTACTATGTCCGCAGTCTCTGGTCATCTCCTGTACTATGTCTGCAGTCTCTGGTCATCTCCTGTACTGTGTCCGCAGTATCTGGTCATCTCCTGTACTATGTCCGCAGTATCTGGTCATCTCCTGTACTATGTCCGCAGTCTCTGGTCATCTCCTGCACTGTGTCCGCAGTCTCTGGTCATCTCCTGCACTGTGTCCGCAGTCTCTGGCCATCTCCTGTACTGTGTCCGCAGTCTCTGGTCATCTCCTGTACTGTGTCCGCAGTCTCTGGTCATCTCCTGTACTGTGTCCGCAGTCTCTGGTCATCTCCTGTACTGTGTCCGCAGTATCTGGTCATCTCCTGTACTATGTCCGCAGTCTCTGGTCATCTCCTGCACTGTGTCCGCAGTCTCTGGTCATCTCCTGCACTGTGTCCGCAGTCTCTGGCCATCTCCTGTACTGTGTTTGTAGTCTCTGGTCATCTCCTGTAGCATGTCTGCAGTCTCTGGTCATCTCCTGTAATATGTCCGCAGTCTCTGGTCATCTCCTGTACTATGTCCGCAGTCTCTGGTCATCCCCTGTACTGTGTCCGCATTTGTTCATAGTTTTTTTTTTTTTTAAACTATAGTCCGGCCCTCCAATGGTCTGAGGGACAGTGAACTGGCCCCCTGTTTAAAAAGTTTGAGGAGCCCTGATATAAAATGTCACGCACATGAAAAGCTTTCAATTTGTTTCAGCCTACCTTACTCAGATTCTTTAACAATAGTTGTTGAATCAATGAACACATAGATAAGGACTAAATAAAGGAAGGGAGAGAGGGAGGAGAGATAGGGAAGAAGGGGGATAGAGAGAAAGGAAATGGAGGAGAGAGAGACATCAAGAGGGAGAGGGGGAGAGAAAGATGGGAGACAGAGAAAAGGGGGAGTGAAATAGTTTGAGAGAGAGAGAGAGAGTTGTGGGGGGAGGGAGAGAGGGAAGGGAAAGTGTGTTTAAAATACAGATTGTACTTACAGCTCAATCACCAATTATGGACTCACCCTGGGAACAGCCTCCATTTATCTCAGGCTTAGTCTCCTGGTCTACTGCATAAGGGAGAAATGTGAGTCAAAATGCCTCTGATCCTAAATTCCCCTCCAGTGGTTTTGGATCTAAAATTCAGAATATTCCTTCTGATATTCCTCATGTGTAGCACCTACATCAACACTTAAACTCACATGCGCAGGTCAAAAAAAGTCAGTATGGAGGATTTTTTTATTGTGTAGATAACATCTTTCAAAGTTAGTGCCCTGTGAGAGACCATTTTGGTCTGGGGGTTACATATCTGTTAGAAATGAGTCTTTCCCCACTATCAGTCAATACTTCCAAATCATATTGTTAACTTTTCCTTGATTTTCAGAATAAGGGAGAACACACAGTGGAGCCCAAAAAGAGAAAAAACCACTCCAGGTCTGCCAGTCGCTCACTGTAATGATAGCACTGAACAGGTGCCGGCCCAGCACATAGATGATGATAAAGGAAAAATGAAGTCCCCTGCTCCTCTGCTGCTATTCCCTTGATGCTTTTACCCTGTTTGGCAATTTTCTAAATCATGGTGATTTCTGCTGTAATGTGGCCTTTCCAACTTCCTATTTCCTACATGCTTGAGCCCCTTCTTCCTTACTTGCTATCTTCTTATCACCAAGTAATTTATTGTTGCCACATTTTAAGGCTTAATTAAAAGTCTTAGACATTATCTCAGACCTATACTAGAATTTTTACTTTAAGCTTTTTGACTGCAGTATATACAGTATATATCATTTTAGAACAATTCTGTCTATACCTCAGGAAATTCTAAATTCCTCTGTATTATCTAATTGGTCTAAAAACTCCTGCAAAGTATTTTTGGTACCACCTCACGTGAACAAACAGTTGCCCATACATGTCTTCCATTTGATAAGATCCAAACCTGTCTTATTAATATACTGTAGGTATACTCCCAAGTTCGCATTAAAATATTGGCTTAAGAAAGTGCAAACTTACCCTACTGCTGAACCCTTTAACTGTTTATAATGGTCATTGTACCAGAAAGTATCATTGACTAAAACACTCTAATCCTCTCCACTAAAAAAAATCTAGATTTGGCCCCATTCTTCTGCAACCCCTCTAAAACCCCTTCAACTGATATAAGGCAACCTACTTTTCCTGCCAACTGATCCAGACATGTAAGGATATTCTTTGGGCTTTTTAAATGGGAGGAATATTTATGTACACAAAGCTAGAGATGTAGGTTGATGTATTTAAATAACCACCTAATTTATAAATCTAACCCTTAAACTTTGGGCCTTCCTGGTGGATCCACTAAAGTCTTGTGTATTTTTGGGAGAATGTATCTAACTATGGTATTAGGATGTTATTTATCCATATTTATCTTCTCCTTCTTGGTCATTTCTCTTCTTTAATATGTTTTTTACTTACTTTTGCCCATATTTTGTACTTTTGGATCACTTTATGTATGTCTCCTTGTCATCTTGTTTTCTATCTCTTTTTCATATTTCATTTTTAACCAGTATTACTAGCCCTTTCCTTGTCAACAGATTTAATAACAAAATTTTTATCATTGCATGAGCCCTCCAAAGCCTCTTTCATTTTTGGTCAAACTGTTGGACCTTACTTTTCCTATTTCCAATGTATTCAAATCATCCAAAATTGCTTTCATAAATGTATTTTAAAAATCTCCAAATACCGCAACAGAAATGAATGTACTTTTGGACTACCAGCTTGTGCATCTGTCTGTCTGGCCCACCCTTCCATTGTTAACTGCAATAGGGACCTTTTGATAAAATTTGTAAAGTTTGAGTTTATGGATAAAATCTTCAAGCTTCTTCAACAGTTCCCTCATAATTAATATAAATATTGTTTGTTTTGAGGACACATGTTATATCTTTTTCTGAAAACTTGGGACCTGTCACAGCACATGACTAAGAATTCTGGGGGGTTAGCTAGATACGTGTAGGGTGTGTTGTTTAGTGTGTATGGAGAGGATGAGATGAGCTTTTAACTAATGGGAAAAGGGGTCTACTTACAATATGTGAAAATATGCAAAAGATATATGGAAGATATGTATAACATATACCTGAAGTCTCATGGTGATAATATTAAACCAGTCATTTTAAATTTAAACAAATGTAACTGCACATCTATATCAACTGTACAATATAATACATAAAAACACAACAATAAACAAAAGAGTATATATAGAAAAAAGTACAGTTATTTGGAAACAAGCTAAAGTGGACATTAGGGAAAAATAGATTTACAACAGCATGTGCTATAAAAGTTCTGTAATGCACAACCTCTGCTTGTGTTCCACCAGAAGAGTTACTGGCAGAACTGTAAGTAATATTTTAACCTGCATCTCATCCATGAAAATTACAGATTAACTGATTCATAAAGGTGAATGATTGCATCGGCTCAAGGCTTTTCATTCTTCCGATCTGTTCATATGACACTTTTACCCAGTACTAAATTTTATATACCCACTGTTAAGACATCACAATTCAGTTTTATAGAAACTTCCAAAATTATTTTAGGACTGCGTTTTTATTATGTTACCCTGGGGTATCTCCTGTGAACTTAACTTTTCAACAAATTTAGGATGGGTGAGTGGTTTTGTAGAAAGTTATTGCCAGTGCTTTCTAAAATAATCAAAAGGACAAAGGTTCCTGTTCAATGCACTATAAAATGTCACACAACTTTTCATCTTATAATGCAACAGTAAATCCATATTAAATAAACAGGGTTCCAGACCATTATATATTTCTAATGGTAAGACTGTTTGTATATAGTATTGTAATAATACAATGCTACAGTGAGCGCTCTAAAATATAAGCAGCTGAACATTTAAGGAAACCACATAAAAACCTTGTCTAAATCACATATAATATAAAATGCAGCACTTAAAAAAGTAAAATTAAAAGGTGCTAATGACAATAATGAACCATCAATAATAGGTGAAAGTTGCAAATACAGTCCTATAATGGTGCTCCTTGCGTTCCCAGTGCAAACGGTAGAAATTCGCACTAACCAGAAGCGTATTAAAATACGCGGTGTATAAATATCCTGAAGATCCCCCCTCTGTCTGGTCAGCATGTGGACTGGAACTGAAGATAGTGAGGATGAAGCACCCTCATGTGGTGAAGATGAGATCCAGAATGCCAGAAATCCCCTTTCAGGGATGTGTGGGTAGGACATCCTGGGTAGTGAATCGTTCCCCTCTCTGGAGCTGATAGGTGGATCGCAGCAGGGCTCTGAAAGTTAAAACGCTCCTCACAGGAGACCAAGGGAAATACTCATAGTGTAGTATTAAATAGGAAGCTGTATTGGATAAAATTAGTAGGTATAGAAGTGAAATGGGTCACAATAATGTCAGATACATGTGAGTGACTGACCATCCAAGAACAAAGATTACCGCTGGACCTCCACGTGGCACCGGTGGCGTGACGTCACGACCTCCTTCGTCTCTACCTCTGAGGAAGTACGTGCGCACAAAACGCATCAGGTGGAGCCCAGGACGTCGTGTCGTCACGCCGCCGGTGCTACGTGGAGGCCCGGTGGCCATCTTTGTTCTTGGATGGTCAGTCACTCTCTTTCGCACATGTGCGTTCCTGATCGCAATTCTTGTCGAAAATCCCTTACATTACCCCCCCCCCCTTAGGGGCAGCCTCCGGATGCCTACTAGGGCTCATTTCTCAGGGTGACGATGGAGATAGGCTTGAACTATCCATGGGGCATGAACATTAGTGGATGGTTCCCAGGAGTTATCCTCTGGTCCATAACCTTTCCATTTGATGAGGAACTGGGTCTGTCTGCCCCTCTTCCTACAATTCAAGATAGCCTCAACCTCATACTCTTTCATTTACCTCGACCAGCAGTGGAGGAGGCTCCTCCGAACTCCGGTTGGGAAACCCACTTGGGATGTGGGTTTCAACAAGGAGCAATGGAATACTGGGTGAATCTTCAAGTTAGTAGGTAATTCTAATTCAAAAGCCACAGGTTTCACCTTTCTCTTGATAGTAAATGGTCCCAGGTGTCTTGGACCAAGCTTCCTTGATGGACAACTTAATTTCAGATTAGCTGTGGATAGCCAGACTTTATCCCCTTGTTTCAGTTCCAAGTTGCCCCTTCTCTTTCTATCAAAAAAATTTCTTGTTGCTCACCCGAGCTTCAGAAATCGTTCTTTGTAAAACTTCGCCGTTCCTCCTGAGGAACTCCATCCTTTCTTGTACTGCCGGAACAGCGGCCTCCACTGGTATTTCTGGAAGAAAGAAGGGATGGTATCCGTAGTTAGAGAAAAAGGGAGATTGCTTGGTGGCGGAATGCATGGAATTATTATAGGCAAATTCTGCTAATGGAAGGAGCGATGCCCAGTCATCTTGTGAATATGAGGAGAAGCATCGGAGGTATTGCTCCAGAGTTTGGTTTGTCCTTTCCGTTTGTCCATTTGTTTGCGGGTGGTAAGCAGATGAGAAGCGTAACTCGATCTCTAATACCTCACACAGAGCTTTCCAAAATTTGGATGTGAACTGCACTCCTCGATCAGACACAATATTCAGGGGAACGCCAT